GGTGCACTGAGACAGCAATTAAGACTGGGTGTAGTGGTGCCCCTGTAATCCCAGCTCTTGGGAGGCTATAAACAGGCAGATCACTAGTAGTGACACCCTGAACACCCTCTAGACCCTTCCCTAAAACATACAAAAAAAAACAGCACTCTGAAGGCTGAGACAGGAGGATTACTGGGAGTTTAAGGCCAACCTATACTAATACATAATGAAACCATGCCTCAAAAAGCAATAATCCCAGCACTCTGAGAGATTAAAGTGGGAGGATTGCAAGTTTGAACCAAGCCAGGGCAATTTAATGAGACCCTGTCTCAAAATAAAAAGGGCTGAAGATACAGCTCATGAGTGCAAAGGCCCTGGGTTCATTCCCCAGTACAGCTAAAAATAACAGTGTAATAGAAGGAGGGCAGTTAAGAGTCAGTAAAAACAAGCAAAATCTCTTAAGAGAGGACAGTGTATGTGCTCTCTTCTATATTACTGCTACAAATCTTCACTAAAAAGTGGTTGAAATATATGGGGAATGTTTAAATTTAAGATTTACTAACATAAAAGATACATTGCCATTAATCTCCCTCAAAATATGCCCCCTCCTTTAGACACACTTACCTCATTCTTGTCACTTTCTGAAGCAGTTCCGGAAGTCAGAGACAGATAGGCAGACAGACCACTTCATGTGGTTCTGGAAATCAAACCCATGTCCTAGCACTTGTCAGGCAGGTGCTTAGGCCACCGAGCTATCTCCCCAGCCCCATGTCATTTTTTTCTAGCAACTTTGACACACTAACACAAGTGGAGGGGGTTGGGGAGATGGCTCAGTAGAGTAAGTGCTTACCTGGCAAGCGCAAGGGCCTGAGTTCAATCCCCGGTTCCGCAAAAAAAAAAATAAAAAATAAAACAGGTGAAAACTCCTTTTCCTTCCATAAGCTTCATTGTTAACTGACCATTCTTATGGGAAACACCTGTTGATTGCTTCCAAAATATCTTCAGCAACTTCCTCCTTAGTGACCTGCATTTTTCTGTTAACCTCATGAACGAGCACTGATTTTTCTCTTTCATTTCATCTCTAGTGGGCCTCATTTGCTGTTTAGCATTTTACATTCTTACCGCCAATTGGATTTAATGAATACTGTCAGCAACTGATTAAATCAAAGGCCTTGAATTTAAGGATTGTTAAGAACCTTAGATTTCTCATCCATTTTAAACTAGAAAAGTAAGAGTTGCTTGTTCTAAACCATTTAAAATTGGGATGTGTTTACATGATGTACTGCTAGAAAACTTAAAATGTGACCATTGGGGCTGGTGAGATGGCTCAGTGGTCTAAAGCACCTACTC